ATAAGGAAAGATACTAGGACATAGGAAATATTGGACATCTCTGGTAATGAGGGTTTAGTTTTTGATTTCAGCTTTTTTGGTTAAGGTTCAGTTCTCTGAGTTCTGAAAAATGGGTATGACATCTGCAAAGCAGAAAGCAATCATCCAAAACGTTACAGGAACCCATATACATAAATAGCTTCTGCTGTTTAATAATTATTTCACATACAAAGATTGTCTCAAAGTATTTCCTCTGACAGGAGGAAATACTTTGCGACAATCTTTCTATGTGAAATAATTATTAACCAGCAGAAGCTATTTATGTATATTGGTTCTGTAACATTTTGGATGATTACTTTCGGTACCTGTAACTGTTACTAAAATATATAGTGCTAATTATACTGAGATCCTCCCATCCTTGCCTCTAGGACTTTTCCAGAGCCACTCCCATCCTCTGAAACTCCTTACCCCAATCTCTCTGGCTTTCGTCTATTTTTGCCTACTCTATCCACCTTTAGGTGATCCTTGAAAACTAATTTCTTCAGGGAGGTCTATCTCACTTCTGCCTAAAAACTGAACTTTTCACTTTTCCATCAGCTCATCTATCTCACGGTTATTATCTTTTGTACCACCTACACCTCCCTAATAGATTGTAAACTCTTACGAGCTGGACCCTCCTATTCTGCTTTTATTGAATTGTACTGTAACTGTATTCTCCCCCTTTATATTGACAATCGTTGCACAAACTGTTAGAGCTACATAAAACCTGTATATTAATATAAATACACTTGAATGTAATTGCTCTCATTATTTTATAATATTGATATTAATAAAGAGCATACTTACCCAGAAAGCATCCTTAAATGCCAGCTGTGCCATCTTGTTGAAGTAAGATAATCCCAGCAATGAATTTCCTCTTTAGTCAACGAACAACCACATAAAGCATATCACCGGGAGATGCTGCAAATTGAAGGAAAATCTAAGTATTCCAATTTGAAAAAAAAATACAAACTGCTGCAAGATGTGAATTTTGATAGCTGAGCTGCTGCTTCACAGACTGAAAGAAGAGGCTTGACAAAAGGACTAAATCTGGGAAGATAGAAGGAATATGTTGGTAACAAGTAGGTGCATTAGGACCTTTGACTCCAGACTGTTAAATGAAGACAAGAGCCGGGCTTGCAGAACAGCAAGTGTACTCTGCAGATTCCAGTTCTCTAAAATCTTATTACACATTAGCACAGGAAGTTATGCTTCTGACAAACGTGTGTGCAGATGAGGAAGATCTTTGTTGTTCTCGGAAACTGCAAAATAAACGCCACTGAGGTAGGAGTAACAGAGATCCCCTAGCACTGAGCAAGGTATATTACTAAACAGGAACAGCAATAAACACAGTACACCAGGAAACCAAACAAAAAAAGTCACGAAATGTCCATTTTTTTTTAAAAGCTCAAAGACAGTAGTACTTATCCAGAGATACAGAGTAATTCCACAGCGGTGAAAACACTCAGATAAAACATCTATCAATGTTACAAAAGTCAGTTCAATGGTCAATGACCACACTACGGGTCTATTAATTTGCCAATAACGTTATTATTTACGTTACTAAATTTTTTTTTTTCTTTTTTGGGACAAAAAAAAAGCTCTTCTTTAATTTTTTTTTTTTTTTACAAAGTACATATATTTTCTTCTGCGATCTATTGCTTTTATTATGCCACTAAAATTATGTTCCTGGTACAAAAAATTAAACTTTTATATTTTTAAAAATGTATTCAACTGCTTAGAAAAAAAAAAAAAGCATAACAACTGAAAACACAGTAATTGATACAAAGCGTGTATCTAAACTCCGGGCAGATATAAAAGATGCACATTAATACAGCTATATTTTTGTTAAGTAATTAAAGAATAATTACAGGCATGGCTACATTATACATAGTTACATTGATCCAGCTTGAACCAATGTAACTATGTATATAGCATACCTGGCTGATCCTCCTGAATGTTGGAAATCATGAAAGTAGACACCACTACATAGCCTGACACAGCGGGAATTAGCCCCACCTCCACTTCCTCCTCACTGCATTTGATTGACAACAGCAGGAGTCAATGGCTCCTGCTGCTGCTCGAATGCTGTGTTAAGGAGAAAAGAAGAGAGAATAGATGCAGCTGTGCAGAGCCCTGGATCTATACTCCCCTCTTTTCCCCTTCACACAGGGAAGGGGGGTAGAGAAATAGAATACGTTTTCAACATTAAATTTCTTGCATTAAGGTAAAAAATGTTTTTAGCATTAGTATCACTTTACGTTTTACCGACCTGAGCGTGGGGCGAGGCGGTGGTTTGCATCACCTTGTGCTAAAAAAAGTAGTGCATGTAGTACTTTTTTCAGTGCACGCCACCATGTACTTGGACCAGTCAGGTAGGAGACGAGGCATTTTTCCTGCCACCCAACGTAGTCCTACCATACCTGGTGTGAACAGGTCCTAAGTCTAAACTCCAGGTATGTTCTTTATTGCATACATACATTGGTCCAGCTTGACACAATGCAAGTATGGACACATCTCATTCCTGAAGGGCTGCTGGAGAAGCTGATAATCACTGTTGTAGTCGGTGCTACTACAGTGATAGCTAAGATCTTCCTGGTCCTGCTCAGATTCTGTGTGACCAGCTCCCCCTCTGTACATGGACCACAAGGAGCTGCTTGTTCAGCACTACGCCATTCATAGAAAGCCTTGTATTTTTTTTATATGAACACAGGGCATTCTCTGATTGGTTGAGGTGGAGGAGAAGGTTGGTGAGGTCACAATCTCCACTTCATCCAATCAAGGAATCCCTTGTATTTATTGAAAGGTACAAGGGATTTTATGAATGGTGGCAGTGCCAGTCGAGCAACCATTGTGGTCAATGTGCAGAGGAGAAGATATTTGATCCAGAAGATCTCATCAATCCCATTAGTTGTACCAGCTTCCCCAACAGCCAATCAGGTATGAGATATATGAGGGTGTAGGTTGTTAGTTCACCTTTTCACTTTTTTTCTGAAAAGGTAAACTAACCCTTTAAAGCAGTGTTTCTCAACCAGGGTTCCATGGAACTCTAGGTTCATCCAGGGGTTTTTAGGGGTTCCTTGAGCAATGAGGGATTTCTGCCTCTCAGGTAAGTTCCCACTGACATAATTGATGTTTTTAGCTATCTGTAAGAGGGTAATTCTTCCCAATGACCACAAGCGTAAGGGACATTCTATCCGCTGACTATCACACTAATGCTGAGTTGTAGATATAGTAACTTAGCAGGGGTTCCCTGAGACCAAAAAGTTATTTCAAGGGTTCCTGTGTGTTGAAGAGGTTGAGAATGGCTGATATAAAGGTTCATTGCCCTAAAAAAAAAAACATTCATGGAAATGAACAATTACAAATTATATTGACCCCAATTGATTTCCCTTTGAAGTAGTCTGCAATGCTAGGAGTATATTTTTCAGTTTTTAGCAGAGAAAAGTCAACACTATGCAGATTTAAAAGAAGGCAACCCTCTTCCAGATATTGCTTGCTGCAGCTGATCCACAGGACAGAGATTGGTACATGAAGTGAAGCTATGCTAGAGGAAGCTGTGGTGTTGGTGCAAGGTTAATTACAGGAAGCCGAGGTGAGGGGAAGAAGTGCAAAAAGGGAGATAATACCAGTGCTATGCAGGACAATAGACAGGTTAGAGCAAAAAAAGTAAAACCAAGTACTAATTTGTTTACATAAAATGCAGAGACCACTGGAGCATGTTTCTTACAGTTTGAGAAATGCTTATCCAATCTGAACACATAACAAACCCTAATGCAGTTTCAGAAAAACTGTTGGGGACTGAGAAGAAGAGGAAAAAAACAGGATTTTTGTACTTTGTACTTGAAGTTAAGGATTCTGTTATTCTGAGACAAGTCGGTTATACTGCTGCCAACAAGAGGAACTGGACACTGACAAACAAAAAAAGCTCTTGGCCAGCAGACTTTAGCAGGACTTAGTGAAGCAGACTGTAGCAGGACTGATCATAGTAGACTGTAGCAGGAGTTGTAACGGACTGACTGGTAGCCTACTGGAACTTGGGGTTCACTGAGCAGTGAAATACTGCTTAAACACAATGCTCAAGTGGAGACAGCATCTTCCTCTTGAGCTTTAATAGACTTTCTGGCCACGTCATGTTGCCGGGACACCCCAGGGAATAACGAGAAATCTCCTCAGCCATGAAAGACAGACGAGGAACTGGAGAGAGACGAGTAGGTGACCGTCACAAGACCTGATTGCAGAAAGCTTAGAAATCTACTCACAGTAATTCCTGGGTGAAATCTTCTTTCCTTGCACCAAATGAAGTCGGCTGCTTGATCTCGGAAAAAGCAGCTGGCTAATGATCACTGGGGTGGGCCAAGAGGGCAGTTTGGGACCCCCAGCTGTGACAAATGAACAGCGTATCACAGCAGGACAACACTGGAACTACTGGGCAGATGAGTATGTGAATTGACAAGTCACATACCTCCCAACTTTTTGAGATGGGAAAGATGGACACCTATTAGCAAATGTATGTAGGAATAGGACATCTCTCCGCCACGCCCCCATAAAGGAGCATTCTACAAAAAAAATGTATTAAACCCACAAATGCTTTTTTTATCACTACTATTCCTTTATATTGGCTCTTGAAATTTACAAATGCAACAATTTAGAATTTGGATGAAAGGTTTAGCACTGTGAAACACTTTTTGAAAGATAAATAGTGCATTTTATATACAACTATACAGATCAGACCAAAATGAGGGACAAACAGGAGGAGAGAGGGACAGAGGGAATTTGTTCCAAATCAGGGACAGTCCCTCGAAATCAGGAACAATTTGGAGCTATGAAATCATTGTAACAGGTAAGGAGGAGGCGTTAAAAGAAAACATGCTGGAGGGAGGTGAAGTTGCTGTTTAACTGCCTCCCGCCTGCCATATAAGATAATGACGGGAGCAAGGCGGTTCTCTCTTTCTGGGGGAGGACGTCATATGACGTCCTCCCACTCTAACCACGCATGCGCGGCTCCAGGTGGTGCGCTGTGGCCCTCGGATCGGACACAGCGGATCACCGATCAACGGAAAGAGCCAAAGATGTCAGCTCGGTCATTTGATCAGCTGTGTCCAATCACAGTTGATCGCATGTAAATAGGGAAATGCTGGTTATCACGCTGACAGCTCGAGAGGAGAGGAGAGCCGGTAATCGGCATCCCTCAGAGGGAACATGTACACTGATCATCAGGGCATGATGATCAGTGTGCCCTGATTGGTGTAGCCCCAGCAGTGTCTCCTGTCAGTGTCCATCAATGCCAGCTGTCAGTGCTCATCATTGCCACCTGCCAGTGCCACATCAATGCCACATATCAGTGCCTACCAATGCACATCAATGCCACATATCAGTGCCCATCTGAGCTGCCTTTCAGTGTCACCTATCAGTGCCAGTCAGTACCTCCTATCAATGCCAGTCAGTGCTGCCAATCAGTGCCACCTATCAATGCCAGTCAATACCGCCTATCAGTGCTAGTCAGTGCCACCTATCAGTGCCTGTCAGTGCCGCCTATCAGTGCCTGTCAGTGATGCCTATCAGTGCCGCCTAACAGTGCCAGTCAGTGCCACCTAACAGTGCCAGTCAGTGCTGCCTATCAGTGCTAGTCAGTGCCGCCTATCAGTGCCACCTATCAGTGCTGCCTATCAGTGCCATATATGAGTGCCGCCTTTCAGTACTGATCAGTGATGCCTGTCAATGCCCATTGGTGCCACATACCAGTGCCTCCTCGTCAGTGCCCATCAGTGCCCACCTATCAGTGCCTATCAGTGTAGCGTATCAGTGCCCATCACTGCAGCTTCATTAGCACACATCAGTGAAGGAGAAAAATAACTTATTTACAAAATAAATTTTTTAACAACAAAAACTAAAAAAAACTTTTTTTTTTTTCAAAATTTTTTTAGTTTTTTTTTTGGTTTGTTTAGCAAAAAATAAAAAAAACCCCAGAGGTGATTAAATAACACCAAAAATAAAGCTCAATCTGTCTCAAAAAAATTATAAAAATTTTATAGGGGTACAGTGTTGCATGACAGCGCAATTGTCATTCAAAGTGTGACAGCGCTGAAAGCTGAAAATTGGCCTGGGCAGGAAGGGGGTATAAGTGCCCTGTAGGTAAGTGGTTAACAGCATTACCATATGCAGCAGCATGGCAATTAGTGTCCGTAACACTGGACACTACCACCAGCAGGTCTATGCATCGCAGCGGAAGCTACAATAATGCATGGGCCTGCACTACTGAAGCTAGACAAGGCAGAAAAGGAAGTTGTTTTTTTTAAATTAGCACTTACTAAACAAAGAGTCATTTTTATCATTTCAAAAATGATTTTTTGTAAGGGGATAACTCCTTTAAATATGAATGCATAGTTTTAACTTCCACTACATACAGTATATGGACCTAACTGTAAGTGTGCAATGTCTCCCCTTGGTGGAACTTTGGAGAAATTACATTATGAAGAAATTATATACTGTATTTCTAAATACCTGTAATGAGAGAAACATAAAGGGTTCCATTCCCGACTACTATTTCTTAGTTCTGACTTAAAGTGTATCATGGTCAAAATGTAAAAACATATATTTATACAATACTGTATTTCAAATATTTCCAGTCTACTCCTTTTAGTCCCTGAAATTTCTAAACCTATGTAGCACTACCCCCTTGGGGGTTGCTGCTGATTTGGGCCCCTGTATAGTCCTTTATAGCCAGGCAATTTGCATTCTCCACACAAGCTTACATTCAGAGTCAGAAATCAGTCCTTAAGCTTTTGTTTTGTTGTTTATTGAGGGGATTTTGAAACTGGGATAGGGTTATGGGTGTACAGGATGCCCAAGGGAACCGATAATTAAGGACAAACTTCCTGGAACTATTCACAAGCTTCTCTTCTGTAACACAGTTTCTGTTGGAGAGCTAGCCAACATCTCCTTGTTGTACCACCCCAGACCCTAGATGCATTCCTCTTTACCCAGCAATCTGGAGGTCTTTTCCTGAGCAGGAGATCTGGCTCCTGTTCCTTTAAAATAGGTGAACAGTCACTAGTTGGGTACTAATCTGGTTTCCCACCAGAGTGCTCCTTCCTCTATCTGCCCAGGGGGTGCAGGTGTACTCACTCAGATCCTCTCCTGTAAGACTTGCAGGTTGGCTGCTGCTACCAGGCCTTATAGCTGGGCTGCCCTTTCCCTACCATACAGGTGGTCCTTGCTCAGGGGACCAGTGAGTCACGAGTTTACTCTTTTCCAGCTCCAGGCTTGCAGGCAGGTCTCATCCCACTAGGCCTCCTGGCAGCCCTCTTCCTCTAGCCTCACATCTTCCTGCTCCTTCTTCCACCCAACTCCTCACACTCCTGCTACTCAGCAGGCTCTTACACATTTAACCACAAGCCTACAGGGCACTTATACCCCTTCCTGCCCAGGCCAATTTCCAGCTTTCAGCACTGTCACACTTTGAGTGACAATTGCGTGGTCATGCAACACTGTACCCATATGACATTTTTAGCATTTTTTTGTAACAGATAGAGCTTTATTTTGGTGGGTATTTAATCACCTCTGGGCTTTTTATTTTTTCTTAAACAAACCAAAAACCACAAACTTTGTAAATAAGTGATTTTTCTCCTTCACTTATGTGCGCTAATGAGGCTGCAGTGATGGGCACTGATAGGCTGCACTGATGGACACTGATAGGTGGCACTGATGGGCACAGATGAGGAGGCACTGGTAGGTGGCACTGATGGGCATTGACAGACATCACTGATGGGCGGCACTGATTGGCATTGATAGGTGGCACTTACTGGCGCTGATGGGTGACACTGAAAGGAAGCTCAGATGGGCACTGATATGTGGCATTGATGTGCACTGGTAGGCACTGATGGGCACTGGCACTGATGGACACTGACAGGTGGCACTGCTGGGGCTACACTGATCATCAGTGCCCTGATGATCAGTGTACATGTCCCCTCTGCGGAAAAGCCGATTACCAGCTCTCCTCTCGAGCTGTCAGCGTGAACGCTCGAGAGGAGAGAAATGCCGATAACCGGCATTTCCCTGTTTACATGTGATCAGCTGTGATTGGACACAGCTGATCACATGACCGAGCCAACATCTTCGGCTCTTTTCCATGATCGGTGATCGCTGTGTCCGAGGGACACAGCACACCACACGATCGCCGCGCTGCGTGCTCCCTGAGCCGCGCATGCGTGGTGAGAATGGGAGGACGTCATATGACGTCCTCCCCAGAACGAGAGAGAACCACCTTGCATCCGTCATATTACTATATGGCGGGCGGGAGGTGGTTAAGAGAGTCCCAAACCTTTGTCAAGCCTTCTGTTTGGGATTGGCTGAGGTCCCTCAAGAGTGCAGCCAGCCACCCCTCAGATCCACCCACTGCCTCCAATGCTCTCCTTTGAAAGCCTCAGAGCAGGGGAAATTCCAGAGGGGCTGGCCTGCAGAGTCTGTCAACTCTGGCCACAATTTGACCCCACATGGCTATTACACCTGAGCTCCTAACAGCTCCTGTCTAACCATTAGGATCTAGCTCCCCTTAGCTAAACTAGGAGGGTGCTACATTACTTATGCTAAGATCCCCACAAAATTTTCTTTTTTGAATTCTGTGACACTTATTCACTATGCACTGTGGGTCACACATTTCACAGGGCTTGCCTTCTGAACTACAAAGGTACAGAAAGGAGGTGTTTCAGGAGGTGGAGGCAGTATAGGAATCAATGCTTGCAGGCAGGGTCTTATATGTTTTTTTCCCCTGATGTTTTATATGCTTTGGGTCTTTTATGCTTAGGGGAAATATCAAATGTTAGCTAAATAATTCTGTAGAAAGTACAAATGTATATACAGTATTTTTTAAAGCAGCTAAACACCAATACAAATGTGGAAGTATTTATTATAGCAACTATAATACCAGTAATCACTAGCATCTGCATATAATCTTCCCAGTCTAGGACTGTCTTCAAAGGACTGTCCTCAATCTCAAACCTCTGTAGCATGTTGGCAGCCTCTGAACTTTCTTGCAGCATGTGTACAGTCTTTTATAATCTCATTTATCATGCCTGTAGTCTCTGACCTCTCCTGCAGCATGTGTACAGTCTTTTATAATCTCTCATATCATGCCTTGTAGTCTCTGACCCTATCCTGCAGCTGTGTACAGTCTTTTACAGGGGCGGACTGACAACTCATTGGGCCCCCGGGCAATAGGGGATCATGGGGCCCCTGTGTCCTCGCCCACACTCAAACCACATCCAAAAATGCCTATGAAAGTTACCAGGGGCATCTCATGGGGCCCCCTACTGACCCCAGGCCTCGGGCAGTGCCCGAGTACACAAATGGTCAGTCCGCCCCTGGTCTTTTATAATCTTTCATATCATGCCTGTAGTCTCTGACCCTTTCCTGCAGCATGTGTATAGTCTTTTATAATCTCTCATATCATGCCTGTAGTCTCTGACCCTCTCCTGCAGCATGTGTACAGTCTTTTATAATCTTCTATCATATCATGCCTGTAGTTTCTGGCCATCTCCTGTTGCATGTTTGCAGTCTTTTGACAGCTTTCTGTAGCACTACATTCACTAAATATAAAAGTGGTTATTTGGTGTTGTTACTTGAGGCCTCCTTTATTTTGGCTATCACATATATATATATATATACGTACATTGTTCCAGTTTGGACCAATGTGAGTGTTCCGTTCTCAAAACACACTGACTATGTGTGGCTCTAAACGGACAGCTAAACCATTGTCAGAATCCCCAGCAAACAGAAAGCCCACTGCTTGTGTTGTCTACCAAAGAATCCAACTTTATTTTATAGGTGAAAAGGTGATGATGTCTCAAGCCCCTTGGGAGAGAAGCAAGCACACTGCATCCCCAGTGAATAGAAGTCTAAAATGGCTGACGAGCTTCCTAAACCAAAGAGTCACTTCCTGTCTGAGAGCTTACATATCCAGAGGAGAACTGCCATACATGTCTGCCACTAGATGGCAGTGGTACAACACTACATGTCCCATATTAAGTAACTTTAATTCAATTAGCCTGTGAAGGCAACACACACTCCCTGCCTGATACTAATATATTATATCACTGCCCATGCATATCTACTGTACAGGGAAAACACATAAGAAAAATACATTCCGGCCTAGATTGGTAACATAAACTAAAACATGAGTCCACAACATTATCAGGGTCTTTTGGCTATGGTAACTTCAAGCTTATGGCCCCACATGAAGAAATAGTTTAGTCCATAAACCCATCTTCGGATTGGAGTAGCCGCCAAGGCCAAACTATCTCCAACCCCAATTGTAATCCACAGGATGGAATTTAACTCAATGGCGAATGTCTCGCCTGAACGCTATCAGTGAGGAGCTCTCTGCTATGTATTGTGCCAACTACACAACAGAAATGCTATTCAAAGGAGAACAATGACATCTGAAACTGGTCTAGTATACACTTTAGCAGTCCTTGTTTTGTCACTTTGACTTCAACCTTTCTGACATTACCATCTTTACTTGGCAATGTATTTGTGACAATTCCCACAGGCCAGTTGTTTCTGCTTTCTTGACTATCTTTCAATAAAACAACATTTCCATCTTTGACGTTGGGACTGGTCTCAGTCCAATTTCTTGCGACTTTGTAAGGTACACAGGTATTCTCTCCTCCATCTCTTCCAAAACGTATCAGCCAGGCATTGGACTTGTTTCCATTGCTTTACAAGAAGTTCTGTTGTACTATAAAGTCCCCATAAGGGGCGATAAAGAGTCTACCTTTTGGGTCAAGAGCATGGCAGGCGTAAGAACTGTAGGATTATCAGGATCTGTAGATAGTGGTACCAAAGTGTCTTTGCATTAATGAATAGCCATAACTTCTGCCATGAAAGTACTCAAAGTCTCATGAGTCAAACGAGTAGGTTTTGCTTGGAGTAACACATTGCAATCTAAAAATGCGCCT